TATTTTCCTTTTCTACATAGACACAGTAACAACCTGATCTTCTTCTTTTTTTTTTTTTTTGAGACCGGTCTCGCTCTGTTGCCCAGGCTGAGTGCAGTGGCACAATCTCAGCTCACTGCAAGCTCTGCCTCTCGGTTCATTGCCATTCTCCTGCCTCAGCCTCCCGAGTAGCTGGATACAGGCACCCGCCACCACGCCCGGCTAATTTTTTTGTATTTTTTAGTAGAGACGGGGTTTCAACCGTGTTAGCCAGATGGTCTCGATCTCCTGACCGTCGTGATCCACCTGCCTCGCCCTCCCAAAGTGCTGGGATTACAGTTGTGAGCCATCGTGCCCAGCCTGATCTCTCTTTCTTTTTCCTACACTCTTTTTTTTTTTTTTTTTAATTTATTTATTTATTGAGACAGAGTCTCACTCCATTGCCCGGGCTGGAGTGCAATGGCACAATCTCAGCTCACTGCAACCTTCCACCTCCTGGTTCAGCCAATTCTTGGCTTCAGCTCCCAGTAGTAGGCATGCACCATCAAGCCCAGCTAATTTTTGTATTTTTAGTAGAGACGGGGTTTCACCATGTTGGCCAGGCTGGTCTCAAATTCCTGGCCTCAAGTGACTCCCCGCCTCAGCCTCCCAAAGTGCTGGGCTTACAGGCGTGAGTGCCCAGGCCCTTCCCCTCCTTCCTCTGGGATCCTACCTCAGGACAGTCACATTGATTCCAGGCCATCCCCAGGCCACAGCACTTCTCTCTCTCCTCTGCACCTAGCACATGCCATTCTCTATCTTTCTCTCTCTCTCTTTTTTTTTTTTTTTTGAGGCGGAGTCTCACTCCATTGCCCGGGCTGGAGTGCAATGGCACAATCTCAGCTCACTGCAACCTCCACCTCCTGGGTTCAAGCAATTCTTGGGCTTCAGCCTCCCGAGTAGTAGGCATGCACCATCAAGCCCAGCTAATTTTTGTATTTTTAGTAGAGACGGGGTTTCACCATGTTGGCCAGGCTGGTCTCAAATTCCTGGCCTCAAGTGACTCACCCGCCTCAGCCTCCCAAAGTGCTGGGCTTACAGGCGTGAGTGCCAGGCCCTATCCCCTTATTT